ATAATTTTATTTATTAAAAAAGTAATATTATTTTTTGTTCCTATTCTTATCTTCCTTTAATATATAACATATAAAACCAAATAAGACTAAAAATATTTTTTTGAAAAAATACAATACACTAATATAACTTAGGCATATTAGCTTTTTAAAAAGGAAAGTAACAAGCTATATGGAATTAAATCCTTGAGATTAGCAAAATATGTTTATTGTAAGATTTAATATAGATATATATATAGAAATAAGGTTTATAGTATGGTTCCGAAAATTGGAGTTGAATAGAATTGCAGGGAATCGCATGAGATTTGAAACACTATTAAAAATGATGGTGGGGTATACTCCACCTATTAAATTTAATATAAACTTGAAATCGAATACAGAATCGAAGAGAATCATTAGGATCCTTAGTTTATAGAATAGCTTTATATTTCAAAAGTAATATGTAATGCCAATAAACTTAATAAAATAAGCTTGTTATATAAAATTTTTTGAAATAAAATTATATACTTAATAAATATAAAAAAGAGTTTTTTATTAATTAAGATTTGAATTTTAAATGCATAAAAAAAAATTAAATCTTATCATGTGATTATTCTTATAATTTAATAATTTCTTAATTTTATAAAAATTTATTGGTCCCAAAATAATTAATTTATAGAAGTTCTATTGTATAAATTATTAAAAACCATTAATAAATCATGATCCAGCTAATATTCAAAAACATACATATCTAGTATTATATATAAAATATTTTTTTCTGATTCAAATCTTTCTTTATATATTAATTTTTAGCAAAAAATAAACTTGAAATTTTTAAAAAATCAATAATTAACCTATAAAATATTTAAATAAAAAAATTTTTAATGATAAAAAAATTATGAAAAATATATATATAATTTTATTAGTTATTGTCTAATGAATTTATTTATTAAAATAAATTTATAATTTATAATTGTTTTTTTAAAGTCAATAAAAAATGATTAATCATTTTTAATAAGCTTGTTTTTAAATTTAAATTTAATAACAATCTTATTATATAATAAAAAATAAATTTATAAATAAGAAATATATTATTAATATTGTTTTGTTTTATTAATTATTTACAAAATTATAAATCAAAAACTTTTGTGACAGACTGTATGTACAGTATGTACCTGGCGCCTATTAGCCTATATATTATATTATAACAATAAAGCGAATATACGTATATTTTTCTGAATTTTTGGCAAAGTGATCGACGTTACGAATTGTAATGCGCGCGTGAATTTTTAAAGAGGATTTGATATTATAAACTTTAGATTTCATTAATTACATTTATATCATTGAAAATTGTTCTAAAACGGCCATGGAACAACGCAATTAATTATATTTTTTCATATATTGATATATTAAAAAATGTGAGTCCACAAATGGTTTGTTTTAGGGGGAGCGATTGACATTTAGCTCCGCTTTGCTTTCTGATGCGATTTGTCTTCTTTTTCCTTTCGTGTTGTTCGAAAATAGATTTCTTACAGCTCTTTCGGTATCAAGTAGCTTTCTCTGCATCAGATAAATATGTTAGTTTTTGATAGTTTTTTTATTTATGGTAATTTGCCTATCACTTACTTGAAGCAAATTTAGAATACAATATGCATCTTCCAATATGTCACAATCATCAATATCAGCAGGTATCCTACATCGATCTATCAATCCAAATCTGTAAACACCGGACCCCATCCAATCCATAGCATAAAAATTCAATTGTAAACCTAAAAATCGAGTCCATTAGTAAGAGTTTTATTAAAATTTCTTCTCGTATTAAGCTTACCAAATTGAAGCCAGCCGAAAACTATGATTTCCAATCTTTTTTCATTTGATACATAATCACATTCTTTTAATAGACGATTTATACTATCACGCATGGTTACCATTAATTTCACTTTATCTAGGAACCGTTTCTTGCGACAAGCTGTAGGGATTCCAAATGGTCCTAGCCCACCTGAAATCTCTCCAAATAAGGCCTCAAATTTATTTGGCGCCTTTAGCAATGTCACTTTCATATCGACCTTTCTACTCATTCTTGCTTTTTTGAATGGGTCCGATTTTTCGTTGCGCGCGTCACTGCTTGAAATAGTTTGAATTTCCCCCCTATGTGCAGAAGAGTTGTTAGATCAAATATTCAATACCTTAATAAAAAGGAAAATGTCTTACCAGGCGTGTCTTATACGATCGGATGTGAATGTTCCATTAAACAATGGATATGATGATGTCATTTTTAACTGCTCTTCTGTCAGCATTCCTTGGAAGAAATGCATATTGTTTTTCCTATATGGTAATAGAAAATTAGAACGTAATGCCAGATAATTAAGTACATAGAACCAATACATACAAAAATTGTGCATTTGTATAAAAATGCTTTAGATCTCTATTTTCACCACTATTGTCAAGTTTTTCGCAATTACTGTCGAAGTAATCCTGAATATCTTTTGAGGCCGGTTCGCATTTCCATTTGATATGATCAGCAAAATCTTGAGATAACTGCTGTAAATTGTTTTCTGTAATTTCTTTACATCCGTATAGACTTTCTCTAGTCAGATCGAGCACTCCCCAATATGCAGGGCTATAAAATAATAAGATAAAAAAAAATACATTAATAATCAGACCATGATCATAAAAAAGACACCAAACTTACGTGAATACTCTGCGAGTTTTAGGAATTTTATTTTGATATGTTTGGAATGCATTCAGCATGTCATCAAATATAAATTTGGATGGATTCTATTGAGGATAGATAATGTGTTTACTGAATAGACTGTATGTTCACGAATGAAACATTAAGATCTTACCTTATTATCCCTCGCTAGTGGCAATTTTCTTTCCTCCTCAAGGGTATTTTCGTCAATTTTCTCTATAATGGTATCTTCGTTCGAATCATTAAATAGAAATACTAATCCATCGTAACCTGGTAATTCGTCATCTCCTAATTTCCTTTTCCGATTATTTTTGCATGTTGGACTTTCTTCTGTAAATTCGTCATCATTATACACTTGATTAGGGTCCTTCCAAAGAAATATGAAAAATGTAATGATTAAATTGACGATTCTATTTATTGATCATACTATACTAAAATTAATCATACCAGCATTGGGTCCTCGTTATTGTTAGTGATGGTATAAGAAACTTCCTCATCTTGCTTTCCTGATGTGCTGTTCAAGATTTCATTCGCCTGTATCATATAACTTTTTGCCAATTCGTTCTTTGTTACTGACCCACTTGAAACGGTTGCAAGTAAGTGGGCTTCGAAATTCTGTTCGTAAGCGTGCCGTATTCTCTCAGACTCCTTAGTATTGTTGAATTCAATTAGATCTCCCACAAAGTTCACGATTGATTTTGGGACATTTCTTGCTGTTCGAATAAATTTCAGACTGGCGGTCCACGTGTCAAAAATTTCATTAAATGTTTTTGGCGAGTCTTCAGAGTGAATAATAGAGGAATAGAAACGTTGAAATGACCATTGTCGGGCATCTGTGTCTGTGAAAAAACTGCGTTTATTGCGCTTAAGGCGATATGTTTTAAAGTCGGAATCAACTACTGGATGTGGCATGTATGTTAGCTTACGTGTCATTACGTGTCATTACGTGTCATTGTCAATCTTACCATAAAAATTATCACTCTCACGTGTTAAATGCATGGGAAATTTATAATTTATTTCTTCACTGTACACCTCTAATCTGTCGACCGTAGTTGCTACGTAACGTCGCCTGGATCTGTAAGGGAACTTCTTTCCACTTGTTTACCGTAGTTATCACGCAACGTCGCCTGGGTCTGTAAGGATTCAGAGTGGTAATTAGCGGTAGGTTTGCAAGGATTCAGATTCAGAGTGGTAATTAGCGGTAATTTTGACAGCTCGGCAGAGGGGAACTTCTTCCCACACTTGCTTTACCGTAGTTGCCACGTAACGTCGCCTGGATCTGTAAGGATTCAGAGTGGTAATTAGCGGTAGGTTTGCAGGTCTTACACGGGAACGTTCCAGTATGGACTTAATAGAAACAATTTATGGTTTGGTATGATAACTCTTAGGCTCTATTGACAGAATTAAAAATAAAGGTCGGATTTCAGATGAAGTTTTATTATTGATTTTTAAAGTCTAGGATTTTAATTAATCTTGCTTTATCGTTTTAATGGTATATTACATAATTACCTGCGAAGATTGAATTGTGGAATAGAGACGAAGAGGGATTACGAAACCCTAGGCCCTTATACATGACAGTTCCTCGTCATCTATCCATCCACCGTTATCATCAAGAAATAATTTTATTTTTGGCGAAGGTATGAATATGTTGGTTGTGACAGTGCACTTCGATGAATCAACCTCAGTGCTTACTACTCTTTCGTAAAGATTTCCGAGAAATAAGGCAAGCAACATAAACTTTTCATCAGGTTTTTTGCTAAGGTTAATATCGTTAATTCATTTTGACACTGCATTATGAAATGAAACCGGATTATAATTAATGTTGAGATATTGTGCTGGCATTGATAGTTTAAAAAATTTTAGTGTAAATAATAGTATAGAAACAATAGATAGATTTGATCATTTCGATTTTATTACAATAAATAAAGCAAAGACGTGTCCCGATTTTAAAAAAATTTTTTTGTATGGTTAATCTTTTGAATACATATATCCACATTTTGTAATAAAGCAATGTCGAATGATCAATTAACAATCAACACCTTGAGAGAATTAAACTCTAGGCTTGCATCCGAGATTATTGAACTTTGAAAAAATTTTTCTAAAATTGAGGCCAAGAACATTGGACTTAAAGCTGAGAACGTAAAATTAAAACAAGCTTTGGAAAAACACGAATCCAGATTTGTGAAACTGGAGCAGAATGATAAAGATATTGCTATTGAAAATTCAGAACTTAAAGCTAGAGTTGAATCAAAATGTTTTAGATCTTTATTCTCATCGTTATTTCCAAGTTTTTTGCAACTACTATCGAAGTAATCCTAAAAATCTTTTGAGGTCAATTCGCATTTCCATTTGATATGATCTGTAAATCGTTTTCTGTAATTTCTTTGTATCCGTATAGACTTTCTCTGGCCAGATCGAGCACCCCCCAATACGCAGGGCTGTGAAATAGTAAGATTGGTTAATTATCAGACATGATCTTAAAAGGATGTCATACGTACGTGTACACTCTGCGGATTTTAGGAATCTTATTTTGATATGTTTGGAATGCGTTCAACATTTCATCAAATATAAATTTCGATGAATCCTATTGTGGGTAGATAATGCGCTTACTAAATATACCGTATGTTCACAAACAAAACCATTAATATCTTACTTTGTTATCACTCACTCTAGTGGCAATTTTCTATCCTCCTCGAGGGTATTTTCATCAATTTTTTCTATAATTTTATCTTCGTTCGAATCATTAAATAGAAATACCAATCCATCGTAACCTGGTAATTCGTCATCTCCTAATTTCCTTTTAAGATTATTTTTGCATGCTTTATTTTCTTCCGTAAATTCGTCATCGCTGTGCACTTGATTAAAGTCCTTCCAAAGAAATATGAAAAGCATGATTATTAAATTGATTGTTCGACTATTGATCATACTAGCACTTAAAGTTGACTATATCAGTATTGCATCAAAGTTTTGTGAAATTTGAACATTTAATTCGTCTTCCTCGTCTTCCTCAACCTCTTTATCTTTTTTTATCCTTTCTCCTGTTGTACCAGTCCGCTTGTTTCGTGTAACATTGTGCCATTTCGCTTTTCGTCAATGACCCGCTTGAAATGGTTGCAAGAGAGCCTGGAAATTCTGTTCGCAAGCGCGCGGTACATTTTCAAACTCTCCAGTATCATTGAATTCAATTAGGTCTCTCGCAAAGCTGGTGATTGACTTTGGAATATTTCTTGCTTTTTCAATAACTTTTAAGTTAGCAGTCCATGTAATTTGAATGTTTTTGGCGCGTTCCCAGAGTAAATAATAGAAAATAGAAACTTTGGAATGATCATAGACGGCCATTCGTTTTCGCGAAAAAAGAGTTTTTCTTTCGTTTGAGGCGATATGTTCTGAAGTTGATATCAACTACCGGACCTGACATGTTATCGTCACCGGCGAGTCTATCGCTAAAACGGTTCACTCTTCGCGTGACGATAATCCGAACGCTTGGATTTCGGCACTAAATAAGGTAAGACTTTAACTCCGAGGCGGATTACGATTTGACCGACTTTCGCACAATGGCTAATCCCTTCTTGACCGTCTTTCCCTAGGCGCGTCTCAAGATTACAAGTGTCGCTCTCTTACGGTGCACAACG